TTGCTTCCACTCCTGTGGGACGGGTCCTGTTCTGTGCTAAGCCCACCCTCTGCTCCTTCCCTGTTCAAATCCTGCACGTTTATTCCAGCCCGATTCGAACCCCAGTCCCCCATGATGCTCCGGGTACTCCTGCCTGAGTGGACTCTGGGTACTTCGAGTCCTGCTCTGTCACTCTGAGCAGGCTTCCCTCCCCCAGTGTTGCGTTGTGCAGAGGGCTGCAAGCATTTCCAGAACATTCTTGCCCCTGCCACCCAGTCTGCACTAGTAACCAAGGGAATGGCATCATATTTTGGGATGTGAATGACAATGAAGTAGAAATGTCTAAAGTCTGCTGAAATGAGCCCACTCTACCTATTCATGTGCACTTAGCCCTTATTCATTAATGGATATGTAGGTTTCCAAGAAAAAGAGCAGAATCCACCATCTCCCTTGTTTACCAACTGCGAATGTTACCTCGCAGCTTAAAAAGAGAGATACCAAATACATACAGAACTCAAAGTCCAGCCAATGGCCCCTTCTGGGGTTTCACAACAGAAGAGAGTAAACAGGCAAGTACACAAACAGGCAGAAAAGTGTTTTGAGTCACACTTGATATTTTCAGAAAATGATAAGATTCCAGCAAAGAGGCATAGTGGCTGGTTTTCAAATAAAGTCACTTATTTGTCACGATATTATGTAAAATACATTAAGTGCCATTTCACATATGGAAAAGTCAACTCAAATAATTACTTCCCTAACCGAAGGAATGGCCAGGGCTTTACAATGAAGACAGTGCATACAGTCAGTCAGTACTCACCACTTAAAACACACTTGTCGTTCTTTGTTTACTCTTTAGGTACATAAAACTTTAACGTGCAGAATTTTATTGAAAACGGAACAAAAGAAAAAAAAATATTATTTTTTTTCAAACCCTGAAACTCAGCTCCCAAAATAACATAAACAAGGAAACTAAAATATGCAAAGTAGTGACAGCTAGGCTTTCAGAAATTGATTTCTGGTTTTACTTGTGATAAGTATCCACCCATCCCACAAGTCAGGTGTAAATGACGCCCTCACTTTTGTTTTATAAGACGGGCGTTTCTGTGGTCAGAAATTCCAAGGACAGGACTCACACACCCAGAGCACCCCGGGATGCCTGCCAGCTGGGTCCTCAACCCGCTGCAGGACCACCCGCTCGCCCACACCTGCGAGCCTCCAGGGTCCCACTGCTGCGGAACTGCCGCACAGATGCCTCCTACACAGCGGGTCACTGAGCTTCTGGGGAGACGGCTGAGGATGGTGGGGCCCTGCCCGGCACACAGCGGGCGCTCTCACTCAGTGAGCTCATCCTCCTGGCGGTGGCTCTGGGCACTTCTGAAGGGAGCCTTATATATATATATACTATATATATATATATATATGTATATATATATACAGACACACACACGGATACATATATGTATTTTTTCTTTTTAGCACAAAAGAATGATACATAAATAACTTAAAACAAAATATTCTTAGTGAAAATGTAATTCTTTAATACCGGCCGTTAGGCACTTTCTCTCAGCAAAACGGAAATCAATACTTAACGTAATTAATGACCATTTGATACTACTTGGTTTTTACTACTTTCCGACAGCGGCGACTACTACTATACCTAATTCACTTTGAGTTACTCACAGCATAATACATTCCCTCAGGCGACTCTGAGTCTCCTGAGTGACCTCACAATCTGCATGAGATTGTCTGTGACCTTCGCAGGTAGCTGCCCCGCAGGCTCCCACTGGCACCGGGACCCAGGGAGGCAGCAGGACGTCACTCTGTCCAGAACCGCACCCCCCTTCCACGGCTTCATGTAGAAGACATCCAAGCACAAAATCAGGGGTGCCCCCCCCACGGAGCTTGTTGGAATCCTCCTTTAGTACTACAATAGGCACATTACATGGGAAAAAACCCAAAAGGCCTTCACGATTCCTGCGTATGAACTATGACAAGAAAGGATACATTTCCGCAACACAAGTGTTCATACATCCGTAAGTAAACACGGATTAGTAACACGGGTAAACTCTCGAAGAGCTAACCTACTTTAAAAATACATAGTTGCTCATTTTTCTTTGACAAGTCTCAAACACACATTGTCAACGAGAGGAACACCAGGACCTTAAAACACTGTTCCACAGGCCTCTTTTTTGCAGGTTACCTTGTGAAGAGCAAGTCCTGCTTGTGAGAGCCCTGGCTCCACAGGCTTTCACTGGAACGGGTCTCATGCAAAGTCGGCGTGTGGGTTCCACAGAAACTTCGTTCCCACAGACACTTTACAACACAGAAACAGCACGTTTGCACTAACACGGTGCCTTACAAAACAGAGACTGCCGGTAGTTAAAAGGCAGTTTATCTGCTTCTGCGACACGCACAGATCAGGTTAAAAAGGCAGTGTTTTTCCTAGTCTGCGTCAGTTTGCAGAGGCCGTGCTCAATCGAGTGCTGACACACTAGGGTCCACTCTGCGGCCGGTTCATGGAGGGCGGCACCCTCGCTTCACTAGCAAACAGCAACATGCGATAAACAAACAAGAGAATGCGGTCCCTGGGAGGAAGACTTTATAACCTGAAGCTATGGAGTAATTCTTCGTATGGGGGAAAATTCTTGGGAATAGCGAATGCATTTCAGTGAGGCAGGATGCCAAGCACGCAGGCACACACGTGTCCAGATGTAGGAAGCAGACACCCGTGCCCCTGAAAGGGAAGGGACCTGTCTCGGCCGTACCTGGCGGCTCGGCATGCGCACTCCGACTCACTAGCTGGGTGGTCTCAGGCATGGCCCCTGTCAGGTAACTGTAGTGAGTCGAATTCGATAATGAGACTTGAATCAGCCCAGGGATGTGCACTGCTATAAACGCATTGCTGTCATTCAATAATTCCTCACGGTTGCGGCATCGTAAAAAACCACACACTTGGTCTTTGTCCCTAGTTCATGTTGTGAAGCTCCTAGAACACTTGCAATTTCCTAAGTGCTTAACCAGCACTTTTCAACCTAAGAAGTGTCTCTTGGTGGGCACCAGGACAGCTTCAGGATGGGGGCTGGGCACCAGAAAGACCAAATATGTGATTAGAGGTTTGGAGTGTTCGGCCCCACCCTGACCTCCAGGGAGGGGACATGGTCCTTCGGGATTGAGTTCAATGACCAGTGGTCGTGATTTAATCACTCATCATGAAACCTCCATAAAACCCCTCAGTGATGGGGCTTGGGGAGCTTTGAGACTGCTCATACAAGTCAGGGGCCAGGAGAGGGCGTGGGGGCTCTGTGCCCACCCCCACCCCCTGCTCTACACGCTGCTTCCCTCTGGCCGTTCCTGAGTGGTATCCTTCACAACTGCGGTCCTCAACCCCTATCAGTCCCTGGGCTATTAGGAACCGGGCTGCACAGCAGGAGGGGAGCAGCAGGCAATCGAGCGAAGCTTCATCTGTATTTACAGCCACTCCCCATTGCTCACATCACCAGCTGAGCTTCGCTTTCCCCCATCCCCTGGTCCATGGAAAAATTGGCTTCCAATAAACCAGTGCCTGGTGACAAAAAGGCTGGGGACCACTACTTTACAACACACCAGTGTATGTGTATGGTGGTTTCCTGGGCTCTGTCAGTCATGTTAGGGAACTATCAGACCTGAGGCAGGTTGCAGGGACCCCCACCTACTAGCCAGTGGATCAGAAGCATGAGTGGCCCCTGGAACTTGGGATGGGCGTCCTTTGTCGGGACAGGCAGTAGGACTGAGCCCTTAACCTGTGTGATCTGCGCTAAGGCTGGGAGTTAGTGTCGGGACCGAACTGCATTGCCGGACACCCAGCTGGTGTGGGAGAATTAGAGGACAGAGTGCACACTGACTCAAGTAACTCAACTGCCTTCACAGGTTCCCTGTAGGAAGGAGGACCCTAGGCCAAAACCAGATCTTTCGAGAACACTCCGGTAGCCCAGGTTTTACTGGGCAAGAGGTTTCTCAGTCATTTTCCCTGGGCTTGTCACTGGTGTAGCTGTGGGCCAGCGATCCCATCTCCATCTCACAGTTAGAGACCTTCCACCGAAATACTCCCCCATGACCTAATTCCACCCTACCACTAATGTCCCCACACACAGGAACCCAGAGGGAAGGTGGCGCTCGCAGTGACTCACAGCACCACCCCGGGGATGGACGCCCTCCCCAGCCACTTAAGATTGCATCTCCAGCAGGAAACCCCTTTTAAGGATGTCCTGTGTTATTCCAGAATGTGCACCTTCAGACAACTGAGGCCAAGTCCTCCATATCAGTAGTCACAGAGCCGTCAGGAGAACGTGGACTCAGGCTGGACAGCACGATCACTGCTCCCTAACTGCTCTTCCCAGGTCCTCTTAGAAGGAGCCATGTACGTAGGAGAACAGGAAGTCACGTGCCCGTCTCCACCATGGACCCCGCGTGATGAAGCAGGATGGGGCGATATAGCACACAGATATACCGCTGTCACTTTCCCACAGGGAAACTGGTGGAAGTCCAAAAACTTCTTGATAAAAATCAAACGTCATTTTGTGAGCAAAAGCTCTGCAGTGACAGATTGCCACATGACAAGCAATGCAGGACAGGAAGTGAGTTTTGATGATTTGCATCTGAATCGCAGTGTACACCTACCTGCCTTTAAAGCCTGCTCCTTGAAAACGAGGATGTCGTGAGCCCCAAATCATTGCAACCCCCCTTCCCTGCTGAATGTCTATCTCAACAGCAGTGTTCTGGCACCACAGCTTCCCTAGACACGTTCCTGCGATCCATAAGATTCCGGCCCAGTCTCAGCGGCCGGGTAGCTTAGGTGCAGCCTGGATTCCGCACAAAGCCTTTCAGCCAAGCCACCCCCAACTGCGTCCCCAAGTTCTAAGGAGTGCCCCACAGTGGCCCGTCAACAGTGAAAACCAAGGCCTTTTGTACCGAACAGCGAGCTCATGGGTATTACCTGTCGAAATGCAGCCTGCTGTCACTGCTGGTCCCCAGCACCCACCTACCTGCTCCACGGGAGGAGGCGGGGAGAACCTCTTGGCACAAGCCAGGAATATGTCAGGCTCCGGCTTCCCGCTCTTCACTTCTGGGTCATCTCCCAAAACGATGTGACAGAACAAACCGAAGAATTCCTTGTGTCTGCTTGTCTTCATTTCGAATGACACAGACCCAGAGCTGGTGGCGACGGCAAAGGGTACGTTGTGTTTTCGAAGGTGGCGAATGAGTCTTTCAACTCCTGGGGAGAAGAAGGGAAAGACTTCAGTGAGGGGGTCAGGGCATCAACCACCAGGCCTTCTTCCCAGGGCGAGCTCCTCCAGCCGTGCGACACCGCGCTGTGTGGCTTCCTCTTCCGAGGAATTATCCGACCTACGACAGCTCGTCTTAAGGGGGGTTATCAGCTCTGAAACAGCCCTATTCAAAACAAGCAGGGCTTAGCTACAGCGTTTCCCACAGGCACAGGACACGACTTTACGGCAGGAACTGTTGCTGTGTTTGCTGATCCTCTCTTGCTGACACATGGACCACAGGCAGAGAGCAGGCACAGGAGGCCACGCCCCCTGGAGCTGGCACGGGACACGGGAAAGCGATGACCCCAGCAGGGCCTTGTTGGGCCGTGTTTATTTTCCAAAGCAATGAATGCACAAGGATTGCGCTGCTAGTGTTTCTAAGACACCTCTGTGTTCCACAGAAAGCAATTCAGTCACATCTCACACCGCGGAGGAAAGGAAATCACAGAACAGCCTCCACCAGAGGCCAAGCGGAAAGGCTGTAGTGGAGGGAGAGCTGTGATACCACTTGACACGGGGTCAGAGAATAAAGTGAACCATGCTGAATACAAACCAAACAATAAATAGTAAGGTAGCGCAGGAAAAGAGCATTTCCCACATTGTCATTAGCTCTAAGGATTAACCACAGAGGACACAGAGGTTAATGGAGTTATTCAGAGCCAATTAAGAGGGCTAGTTATCAGAAATGTGACAAAAATAACAAGAGTATTTTCCACTTTTAATCTATGCTGATTAGGACAGCTGTAACACCTAAATACCACAAAGCATTACGGACGATCTAAAATGGCATTTTAAATAATCATACAAACACGACTATTTTAATAATAACATGAGGTAACGTCCCTACTTTGTCAGTTGTTGCAGAAAAGACTGACATGGCCACTTTTTTCCGAACACCTAAAACCATTGATGTAAGGCAACAGCTAGATCCTGTGAGCACTGGAGCCTCTAGAGAAAAAGTCCTACGAGATGTTAAAGACACAGACAGCTCTTAACTCTGTGCCAGGACAAAGCTAAGTAAAGCAAATAAATTCAAGAAAAATGTAGCACTTCACTGGATGTAAAATTCATACTCTCTAACACATAATACAAAGTCACTAGGCCTGCAAAGACGCAGACAAATGCAACCCACAGACAGGAGGAGAAAAAGAAAGAAACCAGTAGAAATGGACACGGAAATGACAGGGGTGGATGGAATTTGCAGCTAATCACCTTAAATTAGCTTATAAATATTATAATATCCAAGGAAGAGATTGTCACAATGGAGAGGAAAAAAGCGAAACCCAACCATATGTTATCTACAGAAACATAAAAGGTTTAACATAGGTCTAACATAAAAGGATAGAATACTGTACCGTCACATAATTACTGCTCAACAGAGAGCTGAAGTAGCTGCATTAGTAGGAGGCAAGAGTGTAGAACAACGAATATGACTGGATGACTATTATCAGGGATGCATAGGGACATTTCATAATGACGAATAGGTCAGTTCATCAACAAAACATAGTTCTAAATATATACGCAGCAAATAACAGAGCTTCAAAAAACATAAAGCAAAAACTAATAGAACTGAATGGAGAAACAGACAAATACAGAATGAGGTTTCAAACTCCTCTCTCAGTAACTGACAGAACTAGACAGAAAACAAGTAAGCATACAGCAGACTTCAAAAACACTATCAAGCAACTTGACCTAATTGGCATTTATATTAATATAACACTGGCCCCAACAACAGCAGAATCCACATTATTTTCAAGTGCACATGCAACATTCGATAAGAACACATGATGAGTCATAAAGCAATTCTGAAAAAATTTAAAATAATTGATATATATAAAATATGTTCTCTAACCAAAATGGAATTAAAATGGATCAATGATAGAAAGGAGTTTTGAAAATCACAAATATTAGGATGCTAACACACTTCTATGTAAGACATAAGTCAAAGATGAAATCACCAAAGGAAATTAGACAGTACTTTGTAGAGAAAAAATAATATCAAAATTTGTGGAATGTAGCCAAAACACCATTTAGAGGAATATTGATAGCATTACACCCTCTACTAAGTAAGAAGAGGTCTCAAATCAGTGATCTAAGTTGTCACATTCAAAACCTGAAAGATCAATGATGATTCAAGCTTTCACCTTAAGGAAGTGAAAGAGCAAATTAAACTCAAAACAAACAAAAGGAAGGAGATACAAAACCAAGAGAGAATATCAATAAAATGCAAAGCAGAACACAGAACACAGAAAATCACCTAAACCACAAGCTGGTTCTTTGAAAAGATCAATTAACTTAGGCGACCTCTAGCTGGACTGATCAAGAAAAAAAGAAAACAGCTTCAAATTTACCAATATTAACAATGAAAGAGAAGACATCACTACAGATCTTAAAATCAATAAAGATAAAAAATAATATTATGAGCTTAATGCCAATACATCTGACAACTTTGATAAAATGGGATAATGCTTTGAAAGATACACAACTCACTCAAGAAGACACTAATAATCTGAACAGCCCTCTATCCATGAAAGAAACTGAATTTGTCGTCAAAAACCTTCCCATAACCCAGGATCAGATGACTTCATTGGTGAACGTACCAAACACCCAAGAAAGAAAGAAAATCAATTCCAAACAAACTTTTCAGGAAATTGGAGGGAACACTTCCCAACTCATTTTACGGTATATCAGCATTTCCCTAAAATCAAAACCAGAAAAAAGCCAGACAAGAGAACCAGAGCTCTCATGAACTCGGACACATACCTCCACATGTAAAAATGATATTTATCCAGAGTAAAAATATCCTACGTGAAGAGCTTCAGTGCAGCTTGGATCCACTGGTTAAAAATATTAAAATGCCACACCATTTAATTAGTTTGCAACAACCACTGATTATATCTGGAAGATTAAATTTATTAGCTAACTTTCAATTTCAACCATAAGCTAACTGGTAGATGAGATAAAAGAATGGCTATAATAAAAAAAATAGCCAATAATGAACTTCTGTCTGAATATGCACAGTGATTAAAGCTGAGCATTAAAGTGACTTGAATTTAAAACAAGATTTTTAAATTAGTATATTACCCAACTTTAAACCAACATTTAAAAAAAAAAAATAAAGGAGAAAATTTAAAACACATGGCTCTCTCCAAAACACATAGTAAAAAGAATATTTTGTTAAAGCGCTTTGGTGCTATTCATCTTAAAATTTTAAATATACGTTATTTTATTTTGGCTTCTAACCTTCTGCTTCTGTGCATACTGTATTGTGCAATGCCCCTAATGTGGCTGAGTAGCAGCATACATGAACGAACCAATGAGCCTGTACTGGAGTACATGCCTGTTGACATTTTTATAGATTGTGAAATTAATCGAAAATGTTTTCAGACTGTTTTAAACCAACCCTAGCACGCTGAGATCCTCTGTAATATTTGGGGCCGGCATGAAGATGAACCCCAAGACAAAGCTCTGACCATAGTACCAGGCCACAGGACTCAGGCAATCACGTGCCCTCTGTGGGCCTCGGTTGTGTCAGCTCTCAAAGAGCAATGGTTGTAAGGCATGAGAAGGGCAGGGTGTGCAAAATGACGTGGGTGCACTTTCCAAGCAAAGAAAGCCCCAAATAAATGTGAACCAGCATCGTATCATCAGGTAAAACTTCAGAGTATTGCCAGGAAGAAATGATTCTAATTTCCTGATACATAACTGCCTAATTCCTTCAAAAACTTCTGTATCCTTTAAATAGCGCGCACAAACTTTTTCTTATTCATCGGCTCTCCCTGAGAAGTAGAAGACTGAAAATGCAAATGGAGTTCTGTCCTAGGGAGAAGCTGGTTAATTAAGTGCACAAATGAAATCCAGCTACCGGCTCCTAGTACTTGGTGTGCTTCTATCAGCCTTAGGGAAGGGCAGGAAGATGGATGTCTGTTGCTACAAAGAATCAGCCCTCACTGGATTAGTCTCCAGGGGAAGAATTAGGAAAAGTGAAGAATCAGCACTGTACATAGCAAGAATGTTTCCATTTTACTTCATCCTGGAGACAGAAGGTAGGTGAGAACAAGAACGCTGCAACTGGACTAAAAAAGGAAAAATACAGAAAGGACTGCTAGCTGACACGAGTTTTTCAGGTGTGCTCCTGGAATTTGTTGAGTGGACCTATCCATCAAAACCCTACCAGGTCTGGCATTCTCTGTGTGACCCTGCCCTGAGACCCGTGGCGAGGAAGCGAAGGAAGATGGGCTACTGGGGGTTGACAGTACAAAGAGGGAGAGGAAACTGAGGACCGACTACACCACCAATGCCGTGTGCGTTCAGAACCTCGTCCTGGGCCTAAGTCTAGAAGATCTCTGCAGAGTCAGACAATGAAGACAGCATGTGCCACTGTGGTGGGCCCTTTGGTCAGCTGATGGATGCCACCCAGCTTCCCTTTAAGCTGAACAGACACTGTCACAGTCCTAGGACGGGATACACGGTGTGGGACTCTGCTCCTACACAGGCCTCCTGCTGTGGGTGCCCGGCCCTCCTCGCCTGGCCCTCCTGCGTGGGCTGGTGCTTTGGCACACACCTTCCTTAGAGGTGCCTTTCACAATGACCTGACAGGCAGGTCAGCTAACACCGCAGTGTTACAGGTCAAAGGCTACACGACTAGGTGGAGTAGGTGGGACAGTGGCCACCTAAAACATATACCCAAGTTCTAACCCATGGTATTTCTGAATATGGCCTTGCATGGAAACAGGGTGTTTGCAGATGTAATTATAAGTTAAGGCTCTTGACATGAGATCACTCTGCATTTAGGGTGGGCCCTAACTCCCAGGACTGGTGTCCTTATAAAAGACAGACATACAGACATAGAGAAGGCCACCGGAGAGATTGGAGTGAAGCAGCCATGGGGCAGGTGTCAACCTGAAATAATGGAAAGGATGAGAATCGAGTTTTAAAGAGCTTATTC